TTTGATTTGGGTTTTCTGCTTTGGGGGGGTCTTGTCAGAAGTGTCCTTGCCTGTTTTAAAATGTTTCTATTTTTTCCTCCCAGTAGCTTTGTATTTTTATTAAAATCTTTAATGTATTTTGAGTTGATTTTTGTACCTCGTGAGAGATACAGGTCTAATTTCTAATTTCATTTTCTGTTCTGTGGCTATCTAGTTTTCCTCACAGAGCTTTCTGAAGACACTCTTCTTTTTCCAACAACCATCAATAACTCCAGTTCCAGGGGATCCAATGCCCTCTTCTGCCCTCCTTGGGTATTGCACAACATGGTATACTTACACACATGCAGACAGTACACTCATACACATAAAAATAAAAAATAGTGAATAAAAATATTAAAAATAAAAAAAATCTTTATTTCTCTTCTTCTTGCCCTTGCCCAACTTTTTTTCTTGGTACTCCAGATTAAACCTAGAAGCCCCAGGCATGCTGAATATATGCTACAGCAGACCGCTCCCTGGCTCCATTTTAAGGTTGCTCATGTTGATATATATCCTACACTTTTTTCTATAATCACATATAAAATAAACAAACATAATTGTTAGGGAAAGAATTTGGAAAGAATCATTACAAGGGTCAGCGCAGCAGGCAACCTGGGACTCTTTTGTGGGGGAAGTTGAGTGAAAGGTGACTTGACTGTGGGCAGACTGAGAATGTTTGCAGGCCTATTCTTAGGAGAGGCCCTTAAGGAGGGCTGATATGCTGTCTCAGGGTAGGTAAAAATTCAGAAGCCTGAGACAAGGACATGAACTTAAGCCAATTTAGGTTAAAGCTGTGTGTGGTGATGTGCATCTGTGATTACAGCAGTTAGAAAGATGAGGCAGGAGAATCAGGGTTTCTAGGCCAGCTTTCTGGGGCTACATAGGGAGACCCTATGTCTAAGTAAACTAACAAATAAATAACTGTATCATAAATTAATTATATTAATTTTAAATTAATTGGGTAATGAGTATTTTGTCCTGGTTGGCCTTAATGGCCTGATGTTCATATGTGCTTTATTTATTTATTTTTATTTTTTTGGTCTTTTTGAGACAGGGTCTCCCTGTAGCCCCAGCTGGCCTGGAACTCACTCTGTAGACCAGGCTGGCCTTGAACTCACAGAGATCCCCCTGCCTCTGCTCTGGAGTGCTGGGATTAAAGGCATGCATCACCACGCCTGGCAATATGTGCTTTTTTTTTCAAAGACAGGGTATCTCATATATCTCAGGCTGGCCTTGAACTCACTGTGTAGCTGAAGATCACCTTGGACATCTGATCCCTCTGTCTCCACCTCCCAAGTGCTAGGATTACAGGCATGTGCCACCATGTTTGGTTGTATTAGGTGCAGGGGACTGAACTCAGAGCCTCATGCATGTTAGGTAAGCACCCTACCAACTGAGTCACATCTTCAGTCCCCACATGTGCTTCTAATGTTCTCATAAGACTTCATCATAATATTGTTCCATAATATTTGGTCAGTTCTCTCTGGGTATCTTAGTTTTGAATTTTTCTTCCTACCATGCTTCAACTATCTGTTTACCTATCCATCCACCTAAACAAACAAAAAAACTAAACTCCATTATCTATCTAGCTAAGAACTCAATCTTCTGTCTGTCTGTCTGTCTGTCTGTCTGTCTATCTAATTATATCTTTGTGGGTTTGGCAATGCGTCTAGGTGGTTAAGCAGCTGGAAAAATGCTCCACTACTGAGCTATAACCTCAGTCCTTTTATTAAAAAATAATTTCAGTCCCAGCTTATCCTGGGGGCCTTATAACCACCTAACTCATTCTATTTTTCCAAGTGTTTGTTTTTTTAAAATATTTATTTATGCCGGGCGTGGTGGCGCATGCCTTTAATCCCAGCACTCAGGAGGCAGAGGCAGGCAGATCTCTGTGAGTTCAAGGCCAGCCTGGACTACAGAATGAGTTCTAAGACAGGTGGGGTTACAGGGAGACTGTCTCAAAAAAACCAAAAAAAAAAAAAAAAAGTTTTAATTTAAAAATTTTATTTCTTTCTTGGTCTTTTTGAGACAGGGTCTCCCTGTGGCTCCCAGCGGGCCTGGAACTCATTATGTAGGCCAGGCTGGCCTTGAATTTACAGAGATATGCCTGCCTCTGCCTCCCTAGTGCTGGGATTAAAGGGGTGCACCACCACACCTGGCCACAAGTGTTTCTAAAGTAATTTTGAATAGATTTTTTAAAAAAATCATTTTTGCTAGGCATGGTGGCTCATGCCTGAAATTCCAGCCTTGTAAAGCTGAGGTGGGAGGAGTGTCCTAAATTGGATGCCAGTCTGGGCTGGATGTCAGTGAGTTTGAGGCCACCCTTGGTCTATAGACTCTGTTTTAAAAAACAAAAAAACCCAGAAATAATTACATTTAAACTTTGGAGTTCTTGTGGTTGGTAAAATTGAAGTTCTTGAGACTACACTTAAAAATTATTTATTTGTACTTTATGTGTATCAGTGTTTTGTGTGCATGTATGTAAGTACACTGGTGTGTGCAATGCCCATGAAGATCAGAGAGGGTGTTGGAACCCCTAGAGCTGGAGTTACAACTGTTAGCCATGGTGGGGGGATTGGGAACCGAAGAGCAGAGCTATCTCTCCAGCCCCACTGAAACTACATTTAACAGATTTTAAGTATGCAACTGTGTTTGTGCATATGAATGCAAGTACCCTAGGAAGCCAGGATCCCTCTGGAAGTGGAGTTGCAGGCTAGTGATGTGGGTCTGGGAACCTAACTGGGGTCCTCTGGATGAGCAGTAAGTGCTCTTAACTGCTGAGCCATCTTTCCAGCATGAAAATACATTAAAAAAAATGTGTATGTGTATGCCTGAGTGTGTATATGTGCAGCACATGCATACCAGTGGTTGTGAGCCACCATGTGGTTGGTCCTCTGGAAGAACAGCAAGCATTTCCAGCTGCTGAGCCATCCGTCCAGTCCAAGAAACTACATTAAAAAATTATTATTATTTTTATTTAATGTGTATGAGTGTATTGCTTGCATGTTGGTGGGTGCACTGTGTCATGCAATGCCCACAGAGATCAAAAGAGGGCATCAGATCCCCTAGAACTGGAGTTACAGATACTTGTTAGCCACCATGTTGGTGCTGGGAATCGAATCTGGTCTGGGTCTTCTGCAAATAGAAGCAATTAGTACTCTTAATTGCTGAGGCATCTCTCTAGACCCAAGAAACTACATTAAAAAAAAAAAAAAATCTGTGAGTTCAAGGCCAGCCTGGTCTATATAATGAGTTCCAGGACAGCTGGGGCTACAGGGAGACCCTGTCTCAAAAAGACAACAAAAAAATCTACTCTCTTTCTCAGTCTCTTTCTTTCAGACAAGGTTTTACTATACAGTCCTGGTTGGCCTGGAACTGTCTAAGTAGATCAGGTTGGCCTCAAACTCAGAGAGATCTCCCTGTCTCTGCCTCCAGAGTGCTGGGATTAAAGACCTGCACCACTACACCCAGCCTTTCTTTCATTTAAAAATTATTTATTAGCCGCAGGCGGATCTTTGTGGGTTCAAGGCCAGTCTGGTCTACATAGTGAGTTCCAGGCCAGCTGGGGATACAGGGAGACCCTGTTTCAAAAAGACCAAAAATAATTTATTTATTTATTATTTATAGGTATGTATGTTCTCTTTCCACCATGTGGGTTCTGGGGATTAAACACAGGTCGTTAGGCATCTTTACTAGCAGAGCCTTCTTGACCTCCCTCTTGGTTTTTTTTTTTTGTCTGTTTGGAGGCTGACTCTCCCTCTAGCCCTAACTGACCTGGTCTCTAACTTTAGGCAATTCTCCAGTCTTAACCTCCCAAGTGCTAGGATTGCAGGTGTGGGTCACTAGTACTGGGAGCCCAGCCTCACATCATCTTTTTTTTTTTTGGTCTTTTTGAGACAGGGTCTCCCTGGAGTCCCAGCTGGCATGGAACTCTCTATGTAGACCAGGCTGGTCTTGAACTCACAGAGATCCGCCACAGCCTCTGCCTCCCAAGTGCTGGGATTAAAGGCGTGCGCCACCACGCCCGGCCAAAATCTTTTTTTTTAAGCGTCTCGTCTACAAGGAGTCTTCTAAGAACTACTCTATTTACTAAGTTCCCCGATCTCCAACGAAGGAGGTTGGTGGGTTGAGGAGGTTGGTGGGTTGAGGAGGTAGAAAGTCTGGCCCCCAACTCCTTTTGTCTTTCTGGTCTCTTTCCGGAAGCAAGGGCTCAACCATCACTACTTCCTCCTGTTTAGTGAGAACCAGGAACTTTTCCTCCCAAGATATCAGCCCCTTGGTCCCCTCTGGGGCCGCGAAGCATCAGAAGGCGTGGCTCAGTCCAGGGCCCGGACTGCTGAGTTGAGCGTGGCCAAACCAGTACGTCCGCGAGCCTGAAGACACACTTCCCGACCTTTGTGTTATTTTTTTTGGGGGGGGGGAGGGAAACCACCGTAGCGTCTCAGTTCTTCCACTGGGAGGGAGGGGTCAGCGGGCCCTTCCAGCCAGCGAGATTCAGGCGGTCACCAACTCGCTGCTTCCTGTGGGGCACCCTGGGAACCAGCCAGGATCACCTCAAATACCTGGTTTGCTGATTTCATACAAGGAACCATAAATCTCTGAAAAGTGCTGGGCGTGGTAGCGCAGGACTGTAAATCCCAGTCTGTAAATTCTCCGCTCTAGAGAAGCTGTGGTTGGATGATTGCCGCGGGTTCGAGGTTAGCGTCACCTACCTAGTGCGTTCCAGGGCAGCTCGGGCTAGAGTGAGACCTTGTCTCAAAAACTCCAAAGTAAATCAGATCAACTTAACCCACTAGCAACCCCCTCCAACAAAACAAAATAAAACCCAAAAAACCACCCAAGCGCCCCCCCCAACCAGAAATTTACATTGGGTCCCACCCAGCACTGACGCTGGCTGAAAAAACCCTGCTTCCCCGAGATACTAGGAGGTGCTCCTAGCCTGCTTGGCTTTAGGGCTTGACAGTTAATGATTTGTCGCAGGAACAACGCGGAGGAGAGGGGACGCGCGGGCTGCGCAGCTCTAGCCGAGTCCCCGCCGGCGGCAGAGGCGCCGCCTCCTGTCTTCCGGGCCGGGGCGCTTCGGGGGGTTCCGGGCACGCGAGGCGCGCGGGGGACCCCATGGAGGCTGAGTCTCCCGCGAGCGCGGGGGTCCCCGAGCCCCAGCCGCAGGGCGCGGCGCGCACGGTGGGCCGCCTGCTGCGCAGGGTCCCGGGCAAAATCTTCACCTGGTGAGTGCGCGGGGCGGGAAGCGCCGGGGCCAAGCGTGCACTTGTCCTCCCTGGTGAGGCCGAGGTGGCGGCCGCTTGGACTTTGGCTCCGCGCGTTTCACCTGGGTGCTCCCCGGCTCTTGGAAATCCTGGCGATCGGCTGGAGAGTCACTGGGTTGGCTTTGTTAGATCGGTCCCCCGGGGCCCCGCGGGGAGGAGACGAGGTTTCCAGGGATGCGGTGGAGGAGGGGTGCCCACCCTGGCGCTTGGCAGGTGGATGAGCCACGCTTCCTGGCGCGGAGCCCGCAGTCCTCCTGCCCCGATCCTTTCCTACCGCGCGGGGTGATCTCTTACAGGAGTTCACTCAAGTGAGAAAGCTGGGTTAAGTTTTGTGGCGTTGCCGGCGGGAACCAGAGCCTGCCTAGTTTCTGGGCCTGAGCGAGGTGACCTGGTCGTCTCCGGAGCTACGGTCCAGGGAAGCAGGTTTCTGGTGCCGCCGCTCTGAGCAGATGGTCTTAAGGAGTTGGCAGCGGCTCTAGGGAAAGCTTCTGTGGTCACTGGACGCCTCGCACTCTGGAAATACATATAACCCAGCATCTAAATAATGAAAGCCATTTACGGAGGAATTTACTCGGTGCCAGGCACTGCGCTGAGCAAATCATGTGGACATTATCTCCACATCCCTCCGCGTTAGGAGATTGCGTTTCTGTTAGACCCACTTTCAGATGGAGAAACACGGTGGTGGCTTAGCAGTTAGTTTGCCTAGGGCCACCAGCCTACCTCCCAGGCATGTGCCATCAGATATCCTGTATTATCAATTTCAGTTTAAAGATTTTGAAAGCTATGCTCCTGAAAAGCCATACCACTTTCCAAAGCTGGATCGATAAAAGTGTATGCATGCATTTTTGTCATATAAATAAGTATAGTTTTAAATAGATACATGTTTTAAAGGGATACGTTGGCCCCAGATCACCTTTTCTCTTCCAACTGTGTAATGTGATGTCCTGGCAGTAATTGCTCAGCTAGGAGGCTGTCAGCTAGCTAAGGGCACAGATTTTTGAATTTAACGCCTCGCTGATTGGCCTTGGACAAGTCACATAACTCCTCTTTGTTCCAGTGTTCTTTGAACAATGAAGATAATTGCAGCATTATAATCCAGTGGGAAAGTTCTTGCTTTAGCATATGTCAGTTGAGCATGATAGTACACTCCTTTTTTAAAATTTTATTTATTATTTTTATTTTATGTATATGAGTGTATATTCTGCATGCATTTGAACGCACCTGTGTCCTGCAATGCCAAGGAGGAAGAGGGCTTCGGATTCCCCTGGAACTGGGGTTAAGGACGGTTCATAGCTGCCTTGTGGGTGCTGAGAATTGAACCTGGGTCCTCTGCAAGAGCAGTCAGTGCTCTTAACTGCTGAGCCATCTCTCCAGCCCTGATAGTGCACTCCTTTAGTGCACTCCTTTAAGCCTAGCTATTACTGGGCAGAGGCAGGCAGATCTCTGTGAGATGGAGGCCAGCCTGGGCTACATAGGGGAGTTCCAGGCCAGCTGGGGCTACAGGGAAACCCTGTTTCAAAACACCAAAAAAAAAAAAAAAAAAAGGGGTGGGGGGAGGGAGAGAGGCAAGATAAGGTTTAGTGGGTAAAGGCTCCTGTCACCAAGCCTGATTACCTAAGTTTGGTCACCAGAACCCACATGTGGAAGCTGAGAACCAATTCCTGAAAATTGTCCTTAGTGGTCACACCTCACCAGGGCCACGGCATGCGTGCCCCTCCCCCACCACACAAAATAAATAAATGCAAAAAAAATGACTATATAGGGGGCTAGAGAGCTGGCTCAGTGGTTAAGAGCACTTACTGCTCTTCCAGAGACTCTAGATTCAGTTCCCAGCCCCTATATGATGGCTAATATTCCTCTTTAACTCTAGTTCCGCAGGATCTGATGCCTTCTCTGCCCTCTGCAGGTACTAGGCACACACCATGATGCACTTGCATACTGCAGGCAAAACACTTATATACATAATAATAAATAAAATCTTTAAAAATTATTAAAAAAATAAAAGTCCCCCCACCCTGTAGGGCTGTGGGAAGATTAACTGATTGACTACACAGTAGTGGGGCGACAGCCTGGCTCATTTCAGTGTCCTGCATGGCCTAGTTGTCACCTTCGACTGTCTCCATTCTCAGGTAATGGGACCATGTGGTGATTGGGGAGATGCCAGCGACCCTGAGGCTGGGGCAGATGGTATAGCAGATGTACCAAGATGTGCCAAGGACTAGCAAAGATGATTTTCCCCTCGTGTCCTAATGTTTTCAGAACCCTGGTGTGCTTTATGAATCAGCAGAGGCTGTAGCCTCCTGAGATTTCTTACGTCTTGCAGTGAGGTTTATTTGCACCTCCCATAGGGATTTTACTTTCTTCTCCTTGTGATGGTAACTTATGGGTATCTTACACTCCTGTTGGGCATTCTCCACAGCCCTTAGTGCACAGTGAATGAACGAATGAATGAATGAGTGGCTGGGAGAGGACAAAGCTTTTCTTATAAACTGTCTTGCGTTTGGTTTTTTGAGACAGGGTCTCCCTGTAGCCCTAGCTGGCCTGGAACTCTCTTTGTAGCCCAGTCTGGACTCCGTCTCACAGAGATCAGCCTGCCTCTGCCTCCCAAGTGCTGGCTTTATAGGCCTGTGCCACCAGGCCTGGCTTTCCAGTTTCTTTTTGGTTGTCTGGGATCTTTGTTCATTGAAGTTTTCAGAACCTGACAACCATTTAGGCCCTAGATTACAATTTCTCATTCTGAAACCTAGCAATCACAACAGTGTACTTTACCAGATATCCAGGACTTCTTATATTCAATATCTAATTTTAATTTTACTTTTAAGGCAGGGTTTCCCTATGTAGCCCTGGCTGATTTGAAGCTCACTATGTAGACCAGGCTGGCCTTGAATGTGTGGTGATCCTTCTGTCTCTGCCTCCTGAGTGCCCTGCTTTTATCATGTATGTGTGTGTTTTGTTGGAGATGGAACCCAATACCTTGTACATGCTAGGCAAGCACTCTACATCCCTGGCCTTTCCACCATTCTAAACTCTATTATTAAATCTCAGTCTCCCAAATTTGAGTTTAGCTGGGTGAATCTCATCTGTGGCCAGGGAACCATGGAGGATGGAGAGAGGTGGGGGAATGGATGTGAGGTGTTGTCACCATATGGGGCAGGATACTGAGGGGTAGTTTGTAATCACATAGAGCTTTTTCTATTCTTTTAATCAAAAGAAATAAGAATAGCCATTTTGACAAGTGGATACTAAATAAGGGGAAAATTGGGAGAGGGGCCTGGAGCAGGTTGCTTTAATTCTGTGAAGCATAATTATAGGTGACCCCCAACTCTTGTACCCTTAGGGTACAGATAATTTTTTGGTGTGATTATGAAGATTACTAGATTATTAGATTACTAGATTGATAGGGTGCATGATGTGGTGGTGCATGGCTGAGGCAGGAAGATGGAAAGGTCAAGGCCATTCTGGAAGTTCAAGGTCAGATATAGTGAGGCCCTGTCTTAAAAAATGAAGAAGAGTGCTGGGCTTGGTGGTGTTCACCTTTAATCCCAGCACTTGGGAGGCAGAGGCAGATCTTTGTGAATTTGAAGCCAGTCTGGTCTACATAGTGAGTTCCAGGACAGCTGGGACTACAAGGAGACTCTGTCTCAAAAAGACAAAAAAAAAAAAGAAGAAAAATGAATATCAGATTACTTAGTCAGCCATACCAAAAGTTCGGTGTTCACTTACTGTGTTAAGTATTCCCAGTAATAGGCACCATATGTCCCCAAGTAGGCCCTGCCTTTGAGTTTGATTTTTGTCATTTATTGCTGTCAACGTAAATGAAAAATGCCATAACAAAGGCCATGGGTTTCCAGAAGTACCCGAGGATACTTATTATTTAATTGAATCCCATCAGATAGTGTACATTCTGACACACAGACCTTATTTATTCATATATTTAAAAATTTGTATTTCTTATGGTCATGCACCTCCTCCCTGGCTCTTACAATCTTTCCACCCCTTCTTCTACAATAGTCCCTGAGCTCTGAGTGGGTGAAGTTTAATATAGGAGGCCTGTCCAAGGACCTGCAGACTCTTTTTTTAAAAATATTTTTTATTTATTGTCTTTTTATTTTATGTGTATGAGTGTATTGTCTGCATGTAGGTAAGTGCACCTGTGTCGTGCAATGCCCGCGGAGCACAGAAGAGGCCGTCGGATCCCCTGGAACTGGAGTTAGCGGACACTTGTTAGCTGTCATATGGGTGCTGGGATTCAAACTTGGGACTTCTGCAAGAACAACCAGTGTTCTTAACTGCTGAGCCATATCTCCAGCCCGACCTGCAGACTCTTCATCTCTATGTTCTGGCCACTTGTGACCCCCTGTGTCCTTGGCCCTCTGTTGCATGAGGGATCTTCATTAATGAGAATTGAGAGATTCATCAGTGTTGTTCTCCTCCTCCTCCTCCTCCTCCTCCAAACTTCCTAGCTGGCTGGAACTCACTATGTAGACCAGGCTGGTCTTGAATTCACAGAGATCTGCTTGTCTCTGCCTTCTGAGTGCTGCGACTAAAGGCATGTACCACCATGCCCTGCCAGTGTCCTCTTTTTAACCCCTGTTCTGTATTCTGTGAGCCTTAGGTGTAGAGGTTGCTTTGTAGATGCGTCGCCTAGGCCTGGGCAATTCACAGACAATGTCTGTGTGTGACCAGTTGTGGTACTTGGTAATAGTCACTGACTGGTACAAAATAAGCTTATTTGATGAGTGGTGACTGGGATATTTGTCTGTAAATATAAGGATACATATTATGCTTGAACTCACAGAGATCAGCCTGCCTCTGCCTCCTGAGTGCTGAGATTAAAGGCGTGCTCCACCACGCCTGGCAAGGACACATATTTGAGATATCCTCTGCCTCCTGAGTGCTGGGATTAAAGGCGTGCTCCACCACGCCTGGCAAGGACACATATTTGAGATACACAACAATTC